AAACCAGATCCAAGCGGAGGAAGATAACAGGAAGAGACGTTGGAAGTGGTTAGGACACACATTGAGGAAAGCACTCAACTGCGTCACAAGGCAAGCCCTTACATGGAATCCTCAAGGCCAAGGGAGAAGAGGAATACTAAAGAATAGAATACGTTGAGAAATGGAGACAGATATGAGAAAAATGTACGAAAATCGGATAGAACTAGAAAGGAAGGTCGAGGACAGAGTGGGTTGTAGAATGTTGGTCAGTGGACTATGCTCCATAGGGGGGTAACAGGCGTAAGTCAGTAAGCAAGTAATTGAGAATTCTAGTTAAATGTCCTAGTTGAAGATGCGTTTTAAAAACTAGATAGGTGCGATTTCATTCATCCGCAAATACTTCATCAAAAAATAATGATTAATAATGTTCCAACAGAATAAGTGTTAACTATTCGATGACGAAATAAGTCTATTGAAACTTAAAACTTATATGAACTTTAAGCGTGACAAAAGATATTTGAGAATGAAATATTCAATTGAATTAACCAACTACCTAGTGAATATCAAGATATATTTGTAGATAAAGGTATAAAAAATGCTTTGTAAGTTAATAGTCTGTTATCTTAGTTTTTGTTGAAATATGTGCATCCTATACAGATTCCTTCTACATAATCATTTCAATACAAGTTTTATTGAGCAGATGGATTGCATCTAACAGGTGGAACCCAGTAAGAACATAGCCTCCTCTTTTCCTTTTCCCTTCAAGATTCCAAATTAGCTCTTTCTTCGTGATGTAGTTTAATGATTTTCTCGATGTATGTCTTATACACTTCCAATGTCTTTTCCTGATTTCCTCTTCAGTTGGAAGCTGGTTTGTTCTCTCTCACAATAAGCTGGTACTGATGCTATCACGTCAACGGACATTGAGTATCTTGTTGTTTATAAATACTTGTACCTCTTGATGTTATTTATAGTGGTTCTTGGAATTTCAGCTCTATACAGTAGGATTGTTTTGACGTTCGTATTGAAGATTGTGACTTTCATGTTGACTGACAGTTGTTCTGATTTCCATATGTTCTTCAATTGTAGGAATACTGTGTTTGTTTTCCAACCCTTGTCTTTACGTCTTTATCAGATTCCCTTGTTTGTCAAATTAGCTGCCCAGTTATCTAGAACTGTCTACCTCTTCTAGAGCTTCTCTATCAAGTGAGATTGGATTGTTTTCCGTGTTGTGTTTGAGAATCTTGCTTTTTCCTTTATGTATGTTTAGGCCTACTGATGCACAGGCTGCTGCTACATTGACTCTCTTGGCCTGTATTTGTTGATGTGTATGGATAGAAGGCTTTGGTCATCTGCCAAGTTCAAATTGTCTGGTTGCATGCAAGTTGTCCGTGCTTCTTCTCAAATGTGGAGGTATTCATAATCCAGTCAACCACCAGAAGAAAGAGAGTAAACATCCTTGTTTGACACCGGTTCTCACCTGGAATGCAACTAGGTGCTATCCACTGTGCATGACACAGTGTAGTCGATTGTATGAATTCCGGATGATGTTGACAACTTTCTCAGACATACCATAGTTTCGAAGATCGTTTCATAGTGTTCTATCCACACAGACAAATGCCTTATAATCAAGGATGTTTATGTATAGTGACATGATCCATTCAATTGACTGTTTAACGATGATCCAAAGTGTCGTGATTTACTCCATGGATCGATGCTTACAAAGTCCGGTTTATTGATCTCGAAGTTGGATTTCTACCGAATTTTTCATGCGGTTCGACAACACTCTGTTTTAAAAAATTTTCTTGGTGCCGATAATGGTGAGATGTATCTGTAGTTGTCAAATTTTCTGAGATCATCTTTCTTTAGTATTTCTCTGGTTTGCGTTTTTTTAGAGAGTTAGTTTTCTACAAGATGGGGTCACTAATCCCATGCTCAACCCTCCTCCTTTACCCGGGCTTGGGACAGGCAGTAACTCTAGAAGAGCTACAGGCGGAGTATCTCGATGAGACATCCTTCTTTCCAGTCTGTCAGCACGTGTTTTTCCTTCCAGATCTTTCTGAGTAGAACGTGGAACGTCTTTGCAGTTTCGCCTATTTCTGACTTCAGTGCTTCATCTGGTATGTTGTTTAATCCTTCTGCTTTCCTACCCATGGTCTGTCTGATCGACATGTTAATTTCTTCTATTGTTGGTGGTGTGACTGCTATGGAAATTTGAATTCTAAACTATTGGATTTTACATTCATAAACTAGAAATACACAAAAAGTGACCCAGATTTTTAATAGCTTAAACCTCATCTGATAGAGTTCAACGGTAATTACTGAATTCAATACCGCATTTAGCATCGAGATTAAAGGTTAATTAGTTTACCGCATCTGAATCGGGAATACTAGCTGCTTTCTTTCTATTCGAATAAACGTGCTACTAACAAAAAATAAGTAGTTCGATTACATTCATTCATTTCTACGCATTTCTTACGACGACTGGCACTACACAGTTGTGGTTCATAGCATATTTTATTTATTTATGCTCCCAGTTCAGTGTGCTGATTCGTTCTGCCCCTTTTGATAGTATTATCTTGCTTTCTATGTTATATTCTCTTATATGTACCACATTTTTATTTTGTTTATTTTTAACGAGTTGTATGTTTCCATTGGTCATAACTTTGATTTGTGGTACAGACTTTTAATGTCTTCTAATTCACGTTGAATTCTGTAACTTAAAACTCATTAATATGTTTAAAAGATGAAATTTTCGTTTGAAGATCTAGTGTGCGTGTTCGCATCTAACTATTTTTGATTATTAATTCCCCACTTAATGAGAAAGGACAGTGGGATCAGATTAAAGATGTAACATCTAAAATACTGACATCTGTAGCGAGACTATAAGTCACGGGAGAACCAGTCAGATCCTAGATAACAGGTATTAAAATTCGGCACGAAATCCAATCATCAATATGGGTAAATAGTATTTCGTTGTTAGAGCTGATGTCGGTTTATGATAAAAACGGTAACTCTTATTCCTCGCACTAATTTATAACCCTCATTTAACGCTTGTAAAGAGGTGGATATTCTCAAGGTCATTTTAGCACCGCTCAAAAGTTTGTAAAACTACTGATTGTTGGTTTGAACCTTGTTGGTAGATACTGATGTTAGGTGACAAGGTTCAAAATCGATCAAAGTGCCAAAGGTGCATTCAGTATTTATTCTTTTTTTAATAGAACCATATTTTAAATGTTTAATCATTTTCAACATTACTCCCATCATATTATTTCGACTCCATAGTTATTGAACTTAATAATTTTATGCCTTAGTGTTAGTATGATGTGAAAATGTAGTGTGAGTTACTATGTTAAGATCGCATAACTTATTCTAGCTTCTGGACAAGCCGATTTATTCATTCATTTTCAGTCACATTTCGACGTTGTCAATTATTCACTTATCAACACTGACTTTTTATGTGTACATCTTACCTTATTCATCACATGTCAGTAACGTATTTTTGTGTGACTATAAATATTTATTAATGTTTGATTAAATTGAGTTAGCACACAGGCCTTCTCCACTGCGCGTTCTTTCGTTTCGCTTCGTTATTTGATCGTCTGCCTGAATCAATGATTGTACAAGATATACATATTCGAAAATCCATTCTCATATTTGACTTATTTAATTCCGTTGTTCACCAACGCCAGTTAAATCGATAACTTTATACAAGAATAATCAGAATATATATTATCCATAACAATCAAGCATACGATATAACTGGAGTCAGATCTCGGGCCACCAAAACAGTTCAAGTTAACGTACTTAAATTTTTTCACCAGTTTCTATGTTTCGAATCGTACTTGACGGAAAAGATTTGGAAGATGTAAAAACCTCTACATATCTGGGCAATAACATTGATGAACACGGCGGATCTGATGCAGATGTGAAGACGCGGATCGGCAAAGCAAGAGCAGCATATTTACAACTGAAGAACATCTAGAACTCAAAACAACTGTCAAACAACACCAAGGTCAGAATTTTCAATACAAATGTCAAGACAGTTCTACTGTATGAGGCGGAAACCTGGAGAACCACGAAAGCCATCATGCGGGAGATACAGGTGTTTGTTAAGAGATGTCTACGCAAAATACTTCAGATCCGATGGCCAGACACTAATAGCAACAACCTACTGTGGGAGAGAACAAACCAGATCCAAGCAGAGGAAGATAACAGGAAGAGACGTTGGAAGTGGTTAGAACACACATTGAGGAAAGCACACAACTGCGTCACAAGACAAGCCCTTACATGGAATCCTCAAGGCCGAAGGAGGACAGGAAGACTAAAGAACACATTACGTCAAGAAATGGAGACAGACATAAGAAGAATGAACAACAATCGGATAGAACTAGAAAGGAAGGTCGACGACAGAGTGGGTTGTAGAATGTTGGTCAGCTGCCTATGTTCTATTGGGGGTTACAGGTGTAAGTTAAGTAAGTAAGTAAGTTTATATGTTAATTCTAACTTACTGGTTAACTGATCATGTGACTAATGATTTGTTAATAATAAATTTTCTTAGCCTTTTTTTCTCTATTAAAATACCATACAAATTCTACAATATAATCAGTGAAACTATCATTTATGGACAACCTTGAAACGACACCCAAGTGACCTTGAAAGTGTCTACCTACTTATTATGACTAAATAAAGATCATAAAGCAGTTTGAGAAATTAATGATAATAATTTACAATTGATGGTAAAGGTTTGGAATTTCAATTTATAGTTTTCATCACGAACTAACATCAGTCATGACTCTATTCAAACGAATGGGTAAGTGAATTTCGCATCAAAAATCCATGATCTGTTATTCTTAAATCTGATTGGTTTATCCTATAAATTATATTTTTGTCGGATAACCTTAGGCTATTAATATATATATATATATATATATATATATATATATATATATATATATATATGAATTTTTATACCATAGAAACTATTTTAAAAATATAATAAGAGAAAGAAAGTTGTTTTTCTTGAATATGAATTCCTATTTATTTTTATATTCAATAAGAAGTGTTCTTTTTTTCTTTCTCTAATTTTGATCCTTATACATTGTTGTATCATAATAAAGTAGTAAGTTATTATTAAGCTAAAGTAAAAAATATCATGCAAAAGAAAAAAAAACAATAATTATCTCTAATTAACTTGTAAAATAATAATAATAATAATGGTAATAATAATAATAAGCTTATTATTATTCTCTACATGTATGATATTTTTATCCACTTTTATACATTCATAATATATGTGAGTAATCAATTGTAACTATGTGTGTATGTTTTTTTAATTGTCAGGCAGTAACAACAACGACAAAAAAATAATAACTGGGAGAGAACTGTTTACAGTATTGTTGTGTTTCTTTTCTTTTTACCAATCTAGTTATATATATGTATAAATATATGATAAATCTAAGAATTCATTTGAACTTTAATTGATAAATCATTTTGAGCTCTTAATAAGATCCATTTTAGATCATAATCATGATCATGATCATAAATTATACAATTTTATTGATTAGATAAATATTTTTTTTCTCATTCTCTTCATTAATTTGTTCAATAAAGGCACTTGTATTCATTTCATTATTAATTAATTCTTCATTACGACGAAATTTTTCAAATTCATCTCTACGTTTTAAAACTTTTTCACGTCTCATATGTTCTTTATAAAAATCAGCAAAATTATTAACAATAATTGGAATTGGTAATGCTACTACTAATACACCACATATACAACAACATGCACCAATTAATTTGCCTAATATTGTTCTTGGTAACATATCACCATAACCAACTGTTGTCATTGTAATAGTAGCCCACCAAAATGCAGCTGGTATACTACGAAACATTTCAGAATTTTCATCTTTTTCAGCAAAATATACTAAACTAGAAAATAATACTACACCTAATGCAATTAATAACATAAGTAAACCAAGTTCTTTATAAGAACGTTTAAATGTATAACCAAGTGCTTGTAAACCAGTTGAATGTCTAGCAAGTTTAAATATACGTAAAATACGAAGAATACGAAAAATTTGTACAATTTTTCTTAATGAATGTAATGATTCATTATGATGTCTTGTTACAACTTCTACTAATAATACATGTATATAGAAAGGTAAAATTGCAATTAAATCAATAATATTGAGAATACGCTTAAGAAATTTCAATTTATTTGGTGAACACCATAAACGCAATACATATTCCAATGTAAACCATGAGATACATATTGTTTCGACAATATCTAAATATGGATTATCAGTTATTTCATTTGGTGATTGATGTGTAGTAGTAGTAGTATTATTATAATCTGTATTAGTAAGTATCTCCGTTTCAATATATTTGATCAATGTAGTATTAAGTTGTACTTCAGGCATTGTATTCAACGTTAAACTGATTGTAGATAAAAGGATAAAAATTATTGAAACGATTGCAAACACCTGTGTAGAATGAAATAGATGAAAACAGTAACAAGGGGTTATATAAACATATGAATGTAAAGAAAAATTAGTAGTTTTATGAATACAAATAAAAAATGTAGTTGAATTTTATGGTTAACAACACGGACTGGACTTAGTTAGAAAACTATTAAAAACCATTAAGCACTGAATGGCTCTTTTATCCAAGTATGGGACTTCTCAACAGTGCGCACCTAAAAGAACTTGGAAGATAGAACCCAATGCCTTCAGGTATCAAATTATGATCTCATAAATGACTAGTTGTGAAAGGCAACTCCAGGAGTCCTGTTGAGAAACTTTGATAAGAGGTATTCAAACATGTTGAATGTAAGTCAAATACACGTTACTGACATTGGATTTTGATTGTGCAATTATGTGAATTAAATCAAGTTAGATTTATAAATCATTCTTTCTTTACATAATAAATGAACGCAATGAAATTAAGAGAGGGCACTATGTTTATTATTCATTTAATAAAAAATATACCAAATAGTGGTCGAAAACCCAGATAGGAAAAACCAATTTCATATTAAAAGCTTGTGACTTAAGGCTACATCGAGGTGATCCGCACAGAATGCACATATGCCAACATGAGACTGATCATTTGCAGTCCAAAATAACAATGGGAAGATACAAGTAAAACAACATCAAATGAATATATCTATCTGAACTTAATCACTTAGTGGAAAATACATTGATGTTGGGAACAAAAGTAATTAGGTTGGATTTTTACTGTGAACATAAACATTGGAATGCAAGTATATCCCATATATGATGAAATACGTGTTCTGAATTTCACCACTCGCCACTATTGAATTTCCATATTACTGGGTATGTTATTCCTTATGTTTATTGGAATCATTAGTTAAGCTACAAAATGTTAAAATAGTAATTCTGAGACTGAATTATCATACAAATAAATTAGGAACATCAAGTTAAATGAATATTATCAATGTAATAGTGTAAATGAAGAGTATTTAACATATATGATAATGAGATATACAAAATGGATAAAATACAACCTTTTAAAACAGTAAAATAATGTTGAGAACATTAAGTATACATTTCTATGAATACAGATGAGCTAAATTGCGGTAAAACTAAATTACAGTTAATGAGTATAAACTATGAAATTTTTTTTACAAACATCTCTAACTTTAAATTGCAGATAACTACTTATTGATTTACATTGTTTGGGATAGGTCTGCATATTGACCTTCCATTTCGTAACTGATGTCACAGAAAGTGTTTAATAGATTAAATCAATTAGTAAGTAACATACAACATAGCACCAGGCACATATATGCATCGGTACAAGTTGCCGCATCTCATTAGCACAACAAGATGAACACCGAATTCATAGAAGTAGTTAATTCAATTCTACGGCATCATATATTTTCTGTATATAATCATTTCAGTTTCAAATACTAAATAAATAATAAGATAATGCAAGATGTTTGTTTGGTTTTTCTTCTCAACAACAACAAAATTGCCGCGCAAAAAACAGTTTTACATTCGGTCATATTTTTATATTGAGGTACTTTTTCCATCCTGATTGCGCGCTAATAATACTAGTCTCAAACTGTTCGAACTGTGTTAAATTAATTATCATTAGATGTTACATTCATAATTATCTATCAGAAGAATAACACCTAATAATAGATATAATTAATTGGATTATATTTTAATTTTTTGTCAAACGCATCAGTTTGAGACATGGAAACAAAACATGTACGATATAACGTTTTACATAATGAAATGAAACAACAGTTTCATTACATAATATGTAAACTATGTGGTTGATATTGATAAAAGATTAGTGATACTTAGTTACTTTTAAATTAAAAAAAACATACTTAAGATTTTTGTCAGTTTCGTTTTCTGAACTAGACCGTTTTGTCATGAAGCTTACTTTGTCATTCTGCATAAGACTGACAGTTTAACCAGTTTATGTTGATAAAGGTCCAGGAAGACAATCAAAGTTTCATGGTTAAATCAATTAGTTCACAGAATCAAACGATCAAAACATGCACATGAGATACAAATCTTTATCATTTTATAACTCTGTATTAGAAAGTTGTTTTCCCATAACAATAATGTACCATCTACAACTGATGTTGATTTTTTTAGAATAAACAGTTAAGAAGCAAACGTTTGTGTCACAAGATTATATACAACAGAATCATATTTTCTAAGATCTAGTGTTTGTTTTTATTTTGATGGTTCTAACAAGTCCTAGACAGGATTAGAACGCGTACTGTGTATTGCACTGCTATTTACAACTCATGTTAAGATGGTGATTGAAGGTAGTCAACAGGAAAGCCTGGAACTAGGTTTCGTGCTACTTGACACTCGTCAGTAAGGTGTACCTGTAATCTTAAGGAAACTGATGCCCGGTGGTAACATTTCTGACTATGAAGGTGTGTGACACCGGAATGAATCCCTCAGGGAGTATCAGTTTCCTCAAGATTACAGGTGCACCTTGCTGACAAGTGCCAAGTAACATGAAAACCGGGTCCAGGGTTTCCTATTGACTACCTCCAATCACCATCTTATCTTAACATAGTACACGCAATGTCAAGTCACCCAGACCAGTGGCCACATTGCAACATGGTCGGTAGCATTCGATCTGCACTAAGAAAGATTTGACGCACATGACATTGATCACCATCCGGTGATCAATCAATTGTAAATACAACTCATCTTTTATATTATCAACTTCATCTTAGCACTTTCTTTTAATCAATATTAAAATGGTTAGAAAATGATGAATAATTAAACCAGCTTTCAACGTTTCATTATTTTACCTAATCCGTCAATGTTACTTGATTTATAGTTTTATAATAAACATTATACAATACAATTAATAAGCTGATATAGATTAACAGTTGAAATCATGGGTCAATTGAAGACAGACCACCATGGAAAACCTGGAAGCACTGGACGGCCGTTTCGTCCTAGTATGGGACTCCTTAGCAATGCTCATCCACGACCCCACCCCCTGCGAGATTCACTAGTGACTGACTTCAAGGACTGCCCTAGAGTCCAAGTGGGAAGCCGTGACCAGTGGAGTTCAACCAGGTCTGTTGTGAGATATCAGCTCACTGAAGACAATGGTGGACCGTGGCGCAATTTCGTGAATTGGTTGAAGTTAGGTATTAACACCAGTCGGCTCAGTGGTCTGATGGTTAGGTGCTCGCGCGCGGGGCTGATAGGTCCTGGGTTCGGGTCCTGCTAGTGAGGTCGTGGGTGCACACTGCCGAGGAGTCCCACAGTGGCCTAGCTTAAGTGGACTCATGAATTTAATTATTGAAATTACTAAAATCTCCACAGAACCTTTTCTAATGATATATATTAATCTAATGTTGAAACTAAAGTTTACTGTTTATAGTACAAGAGTGTAATAAAAAAATTCTATTGATTTATATTGATTGAATATGAATTAAACGGTTTCCAGGGAAAAATCAATAATTTTGTACAAATTGATCCTTTTGAAAAATTTAAACATAATTGAAACAAGGTTCAAAAAATTGAATGTATTCATAATTTAATATCAAGGATTTCCTCATCAACTGTCAATTTATAATACAATCTCCTCTACTCTGGAATATATACATATATATACGTCAATTGTATCCACGTGTATAATCATAAATATTATGATCGATTCTCTTTATACTTCAGAATCTGAGCTAATTGATCCATAACAACCTCTCTATTAGACTGAGAATTTTAAAACTATACAATCAATGTTCACTTCTGATTGATCAATGAATATTATAGACAGTTGGTTGATATGACTATGGAGCTACTATCGGGGTTTCTCTTGGTAGATTTTTTTCCTGTAAAACTGGACCACCATAAGACATAATCAATCATCTACTATTTTACTATTGCTACATAGATAATGCTTTTATAACATTAGAAGAAGAACATGAGAAAGTCGGTTTACTTCATATATATTTAATAGCATTCATACATCTATTATTTTTACACTTGAGGAAAAACAGGATAATAACATATTGTTTTTAGATATCCAACTAAATAAGAGAATAGATGGAACATTAAAAAGAGGGATACATAGAAAGTTTAGAATTGAACAATATATTCATTTTATAATCCTGAACCAATCAAAAATAAAAGAAACTTGGTAAAGATCCTAACTAATAACTTGTTTTGATGACACAATTGTAAATGAATTCAATAATATTCGTAACCTGCTTAATAAGAATGGATATCCAACGAAATTCGTCAACTAACACATGATTGTGATAAAAAGAGAACAGGACTTATCTACCGTTCCATAGACAGTACTGTTCTTAAAATTACAATTCCTAAATGATGCTACTGAGGAAATTGTAACTCAAAAGCCAAAAAAGACGGTACAGAAAATTACTCAACCGAACTGAATGAGGTCTTCTACAACCACCTGATAATAACAACTATCAATAAATACAGTTTGTCTGAATTTGACACATAAATGTGTATTTACCGACTCAACGTCTCCTGTAGAGCCAGTTATATAGGGCAAGTCTGTCATAGCATATCAGAAAACCACCTGTCTTGGTTGAGCAAAGGACTAGTAAGTGTGATTAAATGTTCTGTTCTCATTCACTTGATGGACATAGGACATCAAGTTCAGTTGAATAAATCTTTTAACGTTGAATTCGAGTCGCTTATTACTTATACTTTAAACAAGGAACCACTGCAATTCTCATAATGCGAAGTAAGAACAAAAAACACTAGTACAAATGAAGATTTATTAACCTCCAAAATACGACAATGATTCTATTCGAAAATGCACGCATTTGTATATTGATTTATACACCTATTTAATTACTATTTAGGATATAGTCATATATATGAATTCACGGAAAAATTGCGCACTGCATGTCATACTGAACATAATTCACTTTACAATTGATTGGTCACCGGATGGTGATCAATGTCATGTGCGTCAAATCTTTCTTACTGCAGATCGA